GGGGGGGGGGGGGCCACAGCTGCTGCCACAATGGCACAGCCCCAACAGGCAAGCCTGGAGCCAGCACTGGGCTGTGTTACAAGCTGGTGCTGAGTATGGAAGGAAAAGCAGCCCCTTCCCCGCCCCGTGGCCGGAGCCCCACGCTGCAGCCCCTCGCAGACTATCTGGGGCTGCCTTGCAGGCTCAGGACAGCCCTGCATGGGCTGCGAGTGGCTGCAGCAGGGAGCTCCAGGCAAGGGCAGGGGAGGGGATTCTTTTCCCCTGTGCTCAGCACCAGCTCCTCCCCTGCCCTTCCCCACAACCCTACCTTACCTGAGGTTTCCCATGCTGAGGAGCTACATGGTCCCAGACCAGAAGCACCTCCTTGGGCTTCCAGCTGGAGGGGCGAGGCCAGGCGGACCCTGCTTTTGCAGGAGCTCTTCAGGGCTTCCCCTTGGTCCTACTGCCCTTGGTTCCTGTCATCTTTGACAGGAACCAAGGACAGATAAATTTTAATTTTCTAAATTTTTTTAGGGGCCCCGTGAGCCAGATAGAATGGCCTCGCCAGCCATATTTTGCCCACCCCTGTACTAAGGCAACTGTTAAGATCCACCCTGGATATAATTCCAGAAAGTTATATTAATAAATACTTGTTAGTTCAACATAGGAGTGTCCAGAGTGTTGTTGCTGAACTAACAACATATCAATCCTCTTCTGTGCTTTTTCCTCAATTTATGCTCAGGTATGTATGTATGTAGTCATGCAGCTGCCCAGCCAGTGTGTAGCCTGCAGCTACCTAGCTTGTGTGTACTGCACATACTCAGTCTACATGTGAATGCTTACATGGCCACACTGAATTCCACCAGAAGGACCAAACACCAGTTAGTCAGCTAGAAGTTTGCCAATTAGATGCACAAATAAGTAAATTTATGCTATTAACTAACATAATACCACATTTACTCTATTCTAAGATGAGTTTTTTTCTCTATTTAACATGGAGAAAAGACACTGGGGAAGAGGAAGGAGGCCAGAGAGCAGAGGCTGGGGGAAGTAGGGAGCAGAGGGTTGGTGGGGGGAAGCGAGGAGGAGGCAGGCACAAGCAGGAGGTAAGATACTTGACCTCCCCACTTCTTGTTTCCCTACAGCAGTGGGAAGGATGAATTAAAGATGATCCTCCAATAATTTGATTCTATACATGGAAAATTATAACAAATTAGATTTGTCTTAGAATCAAGTAAACACAGTATATAAAACTGAAAACTTATGTTGACTGAAATTTCTTCCCTGGAGACCCGAGTCAGAACTTTGAGAGAATCTGTGAGTCATATATGATTGGTATGGCATAAAAAGGATCATACAAAGAGTTTTGGACACATTAAGAAAAGTAAAGGCTGTGTGTTAAACTATGGAACATATATTTTGTTTTATTTCATTATAATAATTATTAAGCATGGTGTTTTTTTTTCTCTTTTTACAGCCACTGAAAAAATAAAAAAACTGCTCACCATAAACTCACTGGAAATAGGTAGAAAGAGTGAATTCTCCAGGATTTTCACATCTGCCTTGATTCCTACTTTGTGACCTTGACCACAAGATGTGTGACCTGAACAAAACCACAACACGGAACTCAACAGGGGTCCATTTAGCTCCATTAGGTTTGGTCCTAGGTTGCATTTCGCTGATCACTATTGTCCTAAATATATTGGTCCTATATGCAGTGAGAACAGAAAAGAAATTACAGACAGTTGGCAACCTATATATTGTTAGCCTCTCTGTTGCAGATCTTATAGTTGGTGCAGTTGTTATGCCCCTGAATATCGTGTACCTACTGACTCCAACATGGGTACTAGGTAGACCAATCTGTCTGTTCTGGCTTTCAATGGATTATGTAGCCAGCACTGCTTCCATTTTCAGCCTCGTCATATTGTGCATAGATCGTTACCGTTCAGTTCAGCAGCCGCTCAAGTATCTCAAGTACCGAACCAAAACTAGAGCAACTGCAATGATTTCTGGAACTTGGCTAGCTTCTTTTCTGTGGATCATACCAATTCTGGGTTGGCATGTTTTTGCCAATGGTGGAGAAAGGAAGGTTTGTGAAGATGTCTGTGAAACTGAGTTCCACAAAGTTACCTGGTTTAAGGTGTCAACAGCCATTGTCAACTTCTATGTGCCATCTTTACTGATGTTATGGTTCTATGTGAAAATATTCAGGGCTGTTCAGAAACACTGTCAGCATCGAGAGCTCGTCAATGAATCTTATCGGTCTTTATCAGAAAACAAAATCATACATAGTGATAAGGTTCAAGAAGAGCAAAACATTTGTCTCCAGAAGGAAAACTTGGGTTTAAACGCAAGTGTTTTGAAAAAAAGCTTGGTAGATCCCAGCTGCAATGTAAATATCAACTTCCCTCCTGAAAGTGTAGAGGCAAAGCTTCACCAAGGCAGCTCAGACAAAGCCTCAAAGACCCTCCCTAGAAGAAATGACAGAAAAGTCATGAAACTTAGCTGCTTCCCCCTCACTATTGCCCAGACTCAGCCAGGCATAGAAAAAGTGAGCAGGATGTATATGTCAGTTGATAAGCACAAACAGAATGAAGAGGTGCCTTGCCCAGAGGATTTGGAATTAAGTGACACATCTGAACACACTTTCGCA